ACAGGGGGCTACAGGCTGCCTTTGTGCTCACTGCATCCCGGGACCGTCAGGGACCGGTCTTGCCCCAAGCCTGCTCTTCCAGGCTTCTTGGGGGATGTGGGAAAAGGGAAGACCCCAGCCTGCCTCTACAACCCCAGCCCCAGGGCAGCTAGGGGAGGCAGGGCAGGGCAGGGCCTTCCCGGGCTCTGTAGGGTCTGGATGGGGCGTTTGACCCTGTGGGTGTCTCCCCAGAAGTCACCCAGGGGCAGGCGAAGGGGCAAGATGGGGCTGTCACCTGGAGGACCGGCTGCACGGAGCCGATTTGGCAGTCGCTGGCTCCCCAGTCTTCACAGCTCCGATACACCCCTTTCTCCAAGACGTACTGCTCCCCGGAGAAGTTCGTGCCCTCGTAAGCCACCCACCTGGCCAGAGAGAGGGAGGAGGGCTGCTGAGACCACCCCCGCCGCCTGCGGGGGCACGTTCCTTCCCGGCCCCAGGAGCGAGCCGCCTTGAAGCACGCGGCTTCCTACCCCGAGCCCGCGGCACGCAGCGCTCCCCAGGGGACCACGCGCATAGGGCCTGCCGTCGTCCTACCTCCTCTCTACTCTTCTCCACCGAAACGCCCTCCCCATCTCCCCCCAGTCCACTCCCCTGCCCCATGGCACTCACACGCCGCTCAACACGTTGATGGACTGCGTTTTGCTCCCGTAGCGAGCCAGCGACACATCCGGCAGGGCTTCGCTCAGCTCCACGCTGGGACCGTCCTCGAAGTCCATGGCCTCGAAAAGCACCAGTGCTGGGTCCAAGAAGTCCTGGGGGAGGACAGGGGGCCCTGTCTGAGGCCGCCTGCTTGGTTCCCTCCTGGGAGGGTCGTACGAGTGCCATGCGGGCTCTTCACCTCCACCCCCACCCCCACCCCCTGCTACTGGACCATCCAGAAGACGGAGGCTGGGAGACCCCCTGTTAGGGGCTGCTTCAAAGCCGCCCTGAGTAGTGGGGGCCTATCACTGTCTGCACCTGATGGGTGATGATTTGGGGGCGGGGGGGGTCTTGGCTTAGTTCCCATGTAGGAGAGGGATGGACGAGCATCAGAGCGCACCAGGCCTGAGCCAGGGCCCCCCAACTCATGGCTGAGGCATGCATCTTGCAACGCTGCGGCTGCCTGCCCCCCACGGATAACCCAGCCCCCTTCACCGCCCCCCACACAGCTGGCACAAGGAGCACTGTGGCCCCTCGCGCTTACCGTCCGGATCACACGCAGCGACACGAGCTCCTTGCCGTAGCCCCCCCACTGCGTCCAGTCAGGGTACTCTCCTTCCTCCAGCAGGTACTGGTGACCCCGGAAGCCAGCCTTGCTGTAGCCGACCCAGCTGGGGACAGACAGGCAGACGTGGGACATCCCACCAGGGAGCTCTTGGGGCCGCGGGGCTCCTAAAACGGGCTCTGGGCCATCACAGCCTTGACCCCCCCAGTGCCTCTGCCCACTCACCAGCCTCCCAGGATGCACAGAGACCCCACTGTGGCCAGGCCAGGGCCCTGGCCGCCCTCCTGCTTCTTCAGGTCGTAGACGTCTCGGCTCACTTGGCAGCTGCGGCCCTGGAAATGGGCCTTCTCGTAAACCATCGCCTGCAGAGGTGTAAGAGATAGGTGGGGGTGAGGCGGATCGGGTCCGGCTGCTATAGCCGACGCTCCCCGCAGCGGCACGGGGCCCGTGCCCCCACGGCACACCCCGTCAGGAACGACGGGAGCCGCGAGCGCTCAGCTCGCCCTCCTGCCCCATCCCTCCGGCACGATCAGCCTCTGGCTCTGGCCTCTTCCCTCTCACCTTGGGCTCTCCAGGTTTCTCCACCACGGGGCAGCCCTGAAACGAGAGGAGACCCACGTGAGAGCCCGGAGACCTCCTCAACCGCGGGAAGGGAGAAGCTGAGCTCGGGGGTGAGGCCGAACGCTGGCCTCAGGACCACAGGCTCTCGCAGCAAAGCCACGCCAAGGTTTCTAGCCCTGCCGGGCAGCTCCGAGATGACCCGTGGGAAGAAACTGGCACTCGGTTCGTACCTTCCTGCCCTAGCAAGGGCACGACGCTCCGGGAGCGACACTCACCAGTTTGAGAGGATGCATGGAGCAGACGGAGGGGTCCCTGGCGCCCCACGCTTTTAGGCTGGGGTAGCCGCCCGGCTCCAGGACATAGGGGTCATCGTCAAAGAAGGGCTTGGAGTAGATCAGCCACCTGCAGGGCACGGGCAACGTGGTTACACACGCCCGGGCCTCGGCTGGGGTCAGAGGGTGCTGAGCGGGGCCCCTTGGCTTCGCCACCCTGCGCGACAGCCAAGGACTGGTCACAACCCGCCCCCCCCAGGCCCTGCATCTTACAGGCCCGAGTGGACTACGATGGAGGCAGCTGTCAAGGCCTTGCCCTGGGTCCGGGTGTCCTCTGAGGAATCCATGAACCTGGCTTTGGTGCCTTCCCCATTCTCTTTGCTGAACAAGCTGATCTCGGGGGTCCGGTAGTCCTGAAACAGGAGGCAGCAGCTTGTCAGACCCCAAGGAGTGACCCGCAGAGCGTATGCGGAGACCCACCCCGGCCTCCTCCAAAGGGCTGGTGAGATGCCGGGCTCTCCCCTCCTGCTCCAACAGGCCACGGAGACCAGCTTCCTCCACCCGTTTTCGCTCCCGAGAGAGTTCAGCGACACTGCAGGCGCTTCTTCAGGCTCAGAGGAACAGCCTGACTCCAGGGGCAGATCCGGGGGGTGCAGAGGTGCCCTTGTCCCCCCGCCCCCTTCAAGTCCTGTTCCAGCCAAAACCTGAAAACTGACCACCCCGGAGAGGCAGCGGCATTTCTACCCAGGCAGCACTGAAACTTTGTGGCTCATCCTCCTCTCCCCGATTCCTGCTCATTTCTCTTCACTTTGCAGCTGCTAATGACCCTCTTTCCTTTACAAGGGTCTTGATGTTGCACTACAAAGGCTGCCCTTCTTCTGTCCTGGCAAGTGTTTCTCTTCCGTTTCACAACCCTGCAGACTGTCTTAACACTAGCTAAAAACCTCCGCTCAGCCGCGGTAATCTTAGCCCAGGTGTGGAAGCGACTGACAGTGAAGTATTGGACGCACCGTCAAGACGTTCAAAGCTAGATTTCATTTTATGAATTGGAATAAGAGGCATACATCTAACTGTAACAGCTACAAGAGTAACACGATCATCTCTTCTGCCTGGTTTTGCTTAGTTTGCTGTGTTTTTTTAAAAACTCACTATATCAATCTAGCAAATTAGTGCACCTTCCAATAACGCTGTATTAGTTTTGCCTCGATCTTGAACAGAGTAGCACAGCCCTAGGCCCCTACCATACTAGTAAAGCTGCTAGCTTCTCTTTAACCGGAGAAAAAACACGCGTCGCACTGTATTGGAAGAGGTGTCCCACACCATGTGGACCCCCCTTTTCAAACTCCTAGATCCACCCCTGCCTGAATCTGCCTAACGAGAACCTGCCTAACGAGAGCAGCCGTGGCTCCTGTCCTAGTGGGGGTGTCGTTACCAGCATTGCTGCATCTTTGCTCCTGCCCTCCAAACCTCATCTGCTGAAAGCCACCTTCGCTGCCCCCCAGCCCATGCCTGTGCCAGCTGCTATGGTGGGCACGGAGCAACAGTTCTCCATCGTTACCCACTCTGGAAAGGCACCCGGAGCCTCCTGAGAAAGCACCAGCTCCTGAAGGGGCTGTGGCAGGTGGCAGATGGCAGAAGGTGCCAGCCTGTCCACGCACACCCTTCCCTTGCCCCCTCACAGCGGTGGGGGAGACAGGCCCGAGCTGCTGACGTGCAGGGGTGCTGCCACGTCTTTGGTGGCCGCGAGAGGACCCGTCCCTGCCCAAGCTGGCACTCACCTGCACGACCCTCTTGAAGGAGCCGATCCGGAAAGGCACGTTCTCGGGAGCCTCCCCGGCTCGCTGGTAGGCTGCCCAGGGGTTGCTGATCTCCACGTCCCCCTCGGCCAGCACGCACTTCCTCCCGTGGAACCGCGGCTCCTCGTACATCACCCAGCTGGAGGCAGCGCAGAGAGAGAGGTCTGCTAGCGGGGGCCTCAGCAAGTCGCTGGCCGCACTCAGCCTCTGGCTGCGGGGGCCTTGGGCAGTGCCAGGGGCGCTCATCCCAAGCTTGCAGCCTCTGGTGCAAAGCGCTGCACAGTCCTCACCACACACGAGCCATCTGGAGAGGCAGTGCATGGATGCGCTGCTCCCCCTTGTACAAAGGGGGGGGAAACTGAGGCACGGCGAGACCCAGCCATTTGCCCGAGGGAGATCAGGGAACTGAACCCGTACACCTCAGACCCCAGTCCTTCCCCCCCTGCTCTGGACAGACATCTGGGGAAGGGGGCTTGGGTTCAGACAACTGCCCCGAGCCCTCCTGGTCACGCCACGACCCTCAGCCCCTCGCAGCGTGGCAGGGCTGGCGGCTCTCTGTCCTTTAGGCCTCCAGAGCCGCCCCAGCCCCTGTGTGCTCCCCCCCGAGATCTCGCTCACCCTCCCCGGATCACGCGGATGGAGATGGTGGGGGACAGCTCCCAGGAGGTGGCGTCCGGGACGTCCCCCCAGAGCTCTCGCTTCTGGCCTGCGAAGCCCGGCTCGGAGTAGAGAACGATCTGGAGGGAAACGACACGAGAGAGACGGTGCCATCGCCGGTCTGCATGCGTCCCCTCGCCCCCCGGCCCCTCTCCGGCCCCATCGTGGTACCTTGCCGGGTCTCACATTGATCTTCTTGGAGGGTCTCATTTTTTCCTGCTGTAGAAAAAGAGCAAGAAAAAAAATCAGGCAAGACCCGCAGGCAACATGACCCGCTGCACAGCCTCCCAGCCTCTCCTGCCGGGCTGGGGCTGCCCTTGCGACAGCACCCCCGGGACCCCCTCGGCTTATCCGTTCGCTCCCCTGCATCGCCAACTGCCGGTCAGTCGGGAGCCTTGACAGGACAAACCCGGCTGGTGCTGGGGGAGCGTTGCACGCTTAGTTCACCGGGCGCCGCTGTGCAATGAGAGCAGCTCACCTCCGCACCCCCATGCCTGCCACTCAATGTCCCTGGGCCTGCCTCAGTTTCCCTGGTGGCACTGCCTCTGGCTGCGAGCAGGAGTCCGGGACGGCCGTGTCCACCTGTCCACGTAGAGCTGCTCCCAGCAGGGCCCCACGTGTGGGGGGCAGGGGACAATGCTCACTGCACCCCAGCGGGTGTCCCCCAAACCCAAGCGGGGTCTGGCCGGGCTCCCAGCAGCTGCCCATGGGGGGGTCTCTGTGCATAGACCTCACCCGCACTCCTGCAGCATTCACAGGGCTGAGGTCCCCTGGCCAAGCCCCGTCTCCTGCCACCCCCCGGTGCCAGTTTCCCGGATCTCTCCCCCGGCAGAGAGCAGGGCCCCCCCTGCCACACCAGGTCCTCAGCAGCCTGACCTGGGAGCAGCTCTGCTGCCCAGGGAGATGGCAAGGGGAAGCCAAGCTGGCTCCTTGCAGCCTGGACGGACTCACCTGCATTTCGGGGTGCTCGGGGCGTCGGGGAGGGGCGCTTTCCGGCTCAGCCTCCTGGGAGGCCGAAGGCATCTGGTCAGGGCTTTGCTCTGGGCCCGGGGCCCGCTCAGCCCCCGGGGAGCCGACTTCCAGCTCCTCCGGGGAGGGCTCGGAGGGCAGACGCTTGCCGGACTTTGGCCCGTTGGGCGGAGGCTGGCTCTGCTCGGCGGCCTGGAGCAGCGCCAGGTCGGCGGGGCTGGGCGAGTTTCGGCCTTCTTGCTGCTGCTCCAGCGCGCTGGGCAGGGGCGCGGCGGAGGCCACGTAGCGGCTGTAGAGGACGCTGTTGTCCAGGCGGGAGTAGGGCTTGTTCTCCGCGGGGGCTGCCTTGTGCTCCAGGAAGTCTGAAACCAGCGCCATGCCTTTGAGGACTTTGGCCCTGAACAGGATGCTTTGATCCATCGTGACCCGGGGGGCAGAGACCTTGGCCTTCTCATCCCCCGGCGGCTGCTTCAGCTTCGCCAGCAGCGACAGGTAGTCCTCCACGGCACTGGAGTACGTCTTCCTGGGCTCCTCCTGGGCTGGGGACTTCTTGTCCTCACTGAGATACGGGTTCTGGACCTCCTCCTCCTCCTCCTCCTCCTCCGCGCTCCCCCCGGCCGGCCCCTTCTGCTGGCGGCCGGCCCCTTGTGCCATTGCCCGGAGCTTGGTGAGGGCTTCTGGGAAGGGAACCTGGGACCTGGGCATGACGTGGTCCTCGTGGATGGGTGGTAGGGCTCGGCCCACGCCCAGCGAGGAGCGACGCGGCGGCTTATGCACCTTCAGGGGCTTCCGTATTTCCGAGGGCTCCATGTTACGGAGGGTGTCCACGAACAGCTCCATGTCGACAGCCAGCTCGGGGTCCTCTTCCGCCACCTCGCTGGGACTCTCTGCGGCCTGGCTGGGACATGCGGCCCCTGGGGAGGGGGTCATGCCCCGACTGCGCTCTTCCAGCCTCTCCCCCTGCTCCGTTGCCTCGGGGTGGGAGGCAGGCTCTTGGGCCCGCAGACACCCCTCCGTCCCAGCCAAGAGGGCCGGAGCTTGGCTTTCTACAGGGCCGTCTGCCCTTCGGGGGGCTGTTAGCGGGGCTCCCTCGGCATCTGGTGCTCTGCATCCTTCAGCCAGCCCCACGGCGCCAGAGCCAGCTGGGTCCAAGATGCTGGCGCTGCCCTTTTCTACCCAGGTGGAAATGCCGTTGCTGCCGTCGCTGCTCTTTTCCACCCGGGTAGAGATGCTGTCGTTGCTGTCACCACCCTTTTCCACCTGGGTGAAAATGCTGTTGCTGCCATCGCTGCCCTTTTCCACCCGGGTAGAGACGCTGTCGCTGCCCTTTTCCACCCGGGTGGAAATGCCGTTGCTGCCATCACTGCTCTTTTCCACCCGGCTAGAGATGCTGTCATTGCTGTCATCACTGCTCTTTTCCACCCGGGTAGAGATGCTGTCATTGCTGTCGCCGCTCTTTTCCACCCGGGTAGAGATGCTGTCATTGCTGTCATCACTGCTCTTTTCCACCCGGGTAGAGATGCTGTCATTGCTGTCGCCGCTCTTTTCCACCCGGGTAGAGATGCTGTCATTGCTGTCGCCACCCTTTTCCACCTGGGTGAAAATGCTGTTGCTGCTGTCGCTGCCCTTTTCCACCTGGGTAGAGACGCTGTCGCTGCTGTCGCTGCTGTTGCTGCCCTTTTCCACCCGGGTAGAGACGCTGTCGCTGCCCTTTTCCACCCAGGTGAAAATGCTGTTGCTGCCATCGCTGCCCTTTTCCACCTGGGTGGAGATGCTGTCGATGCCGTTGATGCCCTTTTCCACCTGGGTAGAGCCTCTGTCACTGCCGTCACTGCCCTTTTGCACCCAGGTAGAGACGCTGTCACTGCCGTCACTGCCCTTTTGCACCCGGGTAGAGACGCTGTCACTGCCGTCATTGCCCTTTTCCACCTGGATAGAGGCTCTGTCACTGCCCTTTTCTACCCAGGTGAAAATGCTATCGCTGCTGTTGCTGCCCTTTTCCACCTGGGTAGAGATGCTGTCAATGCTGTCGATGCCCTTTTCCACCCAGGTAGAGGCTATATCGCTTCCCTTTTCCACTCGGGTGAAAATGCTGTTGCTGCCATCGCTGCCCTTTTCCACCCGGGTAGAGGCTCTGTCACTGCCCTTTTCCACTTTGGTGAAAATGCTGTCGCTGCCGTCGCTGCCCTTTTCCACCCAGGTGGAGATGCCACCGTGCACAACATGATCGGTCCAGGTCTCCCTCACGTGAGCGCTCCCAGGCTGCATCACGCCACGGTCTCTCTGCAGTCCAGCAACAGCATCTGTGGCCACTGTCCCAAGGCCTTCCCAGGAGGACCTAGCATCTCCCAGGCCATTGGCACGTGGCCACTGACCTTCTCCTTGGGGCCCAGCGGGAGAAATGCTAGTAGCAGGGCTGGGCATGTGGGGTCTCCCTTGCTGCGGCTCACTTACCTGGGGGCTGCCCAAGCCAGGCACAACCCCCCTTCTTCCTGACTTCAGCACGGTGACCATCCTGGCTTTGGGCAGGGCAGTTTGTCTCTCAGATTGAAACGCGGTACTCAGGACCTGCCGTTGGCTCTGGGAGCCTGGCACGGCAGCGGGCAGGGGGGCATCTTGGGGGGACCCCAGGGGTGAGGCTGGGCTGACAGGCCCCTGCAGGGGGGTCTCTTGGGGGCACCCCAGGGGCACAACGATGGCGCGAGTGCCGGGCACATCACCGCCCCGCTGGAACCGGGGCACCGCGGGGCTGCCAGCCGCCGGCCGCTTCTGCTTCTGCACCGGCAAATAAACCTGCGAGAAGACCGGTCCGTGAGCAGCCGAGTCCGGCGGGCGGCCGATGGTGGGGGCTTTGCTCCTGTCCACCCTGGCGGGGGCAGGGGACTCGGCGCTCTTCTGGCCGGCCATCCCCTTCTCCCATGCCGCCAGCAGCAGGGAGACTCGCGAAGGACTTTCACCCCTGGCCCGGGGGCGGGCGACACCTTCCATGCTCCGCGACGCCAGGCCGATCTTGTGGAAGCGGGGGGCCGCCTGCGGCGTGGGCTCGTCGGGCAGTGCTTTCTTCCAGTTCAACGTGGCGCTCACGACCCCTGGGTCTGCCTTGGCGTGGGGGGCGGGGGAGCCACCGGCAACCTTATCCGTGCAATGCTGGCTGGGATCAAGCCCTGCCCTGGCCTCCTGCGGGCTGTCCGTCCGGGTCTTCTCGCCTTCCCCGCTTCTGCACGGCCCCAGGGAGCTACAGGGCAGGGGAGAAGAAACACAAGCAGCAGTCAGCTTGGGAGGAGACCCGGAGCTTGTAGCCCTTTACCGAGCCCCCGCGTCCTCACAGACCCCCCTGCCCTGCCATCCACCCCCTTCCTCTGTTTGCTACCTACCCCCGTGCCACCGCTCCGTGGAGGAGACGGCTCGAGCCCTCGGCCTGCGCTTTTAAGTGCCCGGGAAAGCTACACGGTTCTTACTTTCTGCTGCATTTCAGGGGAGGCCTCGCAGGGACGCGCTGGTTGCGGCAGGCCACTTTGGTTTAACATGGCCACTTAACATCAACAGGCGTCTGTGCCGTGGTACAAACACCCGGAGTCCGGCTGTTCTGCCCCCGCCGAGGGAAACGCGCAGAGCTGTCACCCAGAAGGCAACCTGGCTCGCGGGACGCAGCAAAGCCTGCCCTACCTGGCGCAGTGGGAGGCCTGCAATCTTGGGGATGAGTCACCCGCTCGGCTGAGCCGAGTCAGCAATGTTGCAAACAAACAAGTCAGAGAGCAAATGTGCCAAGAAACTCCTCTGCTCCGAGGAAGCTGCCGTTCCCTCCCGGGCTTGGTGCTGGGATGGGAAGGGGAGAGGGAGTCTCAGCCGCACGCCGCCCAGGAGAAGGCGGGAGCTTTGCCTTCACCAAGCCAAATGCCACCACGCAAGCTCAGCTGGGGATAACGAATTGGTCAGAGTCATAGAGAAGGGGCCTCCAGAGGTCATCTAGTCCCCCCCCCGCCTAAGGGGTACCATCCCTACCCAAACCAGCCCATACAACCATCACCTGAGCTGTGGTACCAGAGGGCACTAGGCAGATTCACTAGGCTGGGCGAGACCAAGGCCCTTGGACGTGGCCAGTGCCCAGCGCCTCCAAAGAAGGTGCGAGAACCTCGGTCCTATGCCCGCCTGCTCCATCTGAGCTCATCGTCAGAGACCAGCAAGGGGTTTTGGTGATATCTTTTATTGGGCTGACTGTAAAGCTGGCAGAGATCTTAGACAAGCTCTTGGAGATCTTAGCTTCCAGGCACAAACACCCTTCTTCAGGCATGAGGAGAGTCACTTTGTGCCCCACATTTGCCTAAGATCTCTCCTACCTCTACAGACGGTCCAAGCAAAGACACCACAAAACACACACCTCACTTCTCACATGGTCCCTGAACCATCCTGGCTACCAGACTCCAGCCTGACCCCATCATTACGTGTCCTTCCAGTCTTCAACAGCCAGCAACCGGCACCAGCCCTTCTTGGCCCAGAGCTGCGTGTTGCTAATCGTGATAACTTAGGGCAGAATTATCCACTTGGCTCTCACTCCAACCATCGTAAGCTCAAGGTGCTTGACAGCTGTAAAGGAAGCGGGCCCAGGGAGGTTGGTTATGCCAGCCCGGCCGAGACAACGCCCTCCTGCAGGGAGACGCGGTTATTATGCAGCGTAGCTCCCGTGCGACAGCTTTATTACAGCTTCCCGTCTGTGAAGAAGTGGCCGAGGGCGCATCCCAGCCAGGTGCCTCCCGAGTGACGGGGCCGGAAGCTCGTATCCCGAGATGCAAATGGAGATTGAAGAGCTGTTCGCTGTCCCTGGGACAGGCTCGGCTCTGAGCACTTGTGCCCACGTGCTCCCTTTGCTCATGGCCAGCATTTGCCCGAGTGCCCAGACTGGTGCCTCCATCCCTGGATGCCTTTCTCCTCTCCGAGAACCATCCTCAGCCCTTTGCCCAAGGCAGGGATGCCCAAGTATCCTCAGCCCAGAGGGTAGAGGGTACCTAGTGCTTGACCCTCTGCCCTGCTGCTCTCACCCCACATAACTGTCCCCACACGTGTCCCCATTCAGAGCTCCCTGCTGTGCTCCTCCTCGCTCACACAGGACTTCAGGGATTTAGGAGCAGCTCCCACACAGCCTGGGAAGGCAGGGGAGCAGCACAATGAGCAGCTGGTGACAGACAAATAGCCTCATCACCTTAATCACCGCTGCCCTTCCTCTCTGCCTTGCCTCCAGGCCTGGCAGACCTAACCCAGATGGCTGGGACGTCAGGGCGCGCCACTCCCCGGCCCCGTTCTGGCAAACACGTCCGCTGGTTCACTTCTCCCCGGACTTCCTGGGATGCTTCAGGCGAGGCGTTTCCAGCACACGGGGAAGTAGGGCACAAATCTCAGCTGGCCTGGGACACCGGGTACCGGCCCTGCCGCCCCCGCGCAGGCAGGCTGGAGTCAAACGGCAGCAGGGGCAGAGAAGGGCTGCAAGCGTGACCAGGGGACGGAGAGAAGCCAGGCGGAGCGACACCATCCTCGAGGACCACGCCAAGGGGGTCAACACAAGCGGGGGGGAAGAGCTACGGGAAGCGCTGGCACGAGCTCCCGCCAGCCACGGGTGCATTTCGGCTGGAAAGCTGCGAGAGCCTTCCCTGGGCGCGATGGGGCAACACCTAGTTCCCAGGGGAAGCCGGGCGAGTTTGAAGTTAAGAGCAGGTTGGGCAAACCCTCGTCTGGGCGAGGCAGGGCTGCTCTTGCCTTGAGCTGGAGGCTGGATTCAGTGACCTCCCCGGGGCCCTGCTAGCCCTGCTCTTCTAGGACTGAGTCGGAGCAGGATTACGCGACATGGCTGTCTGCGTAGCGGGGACCTGGGTTAGGGACCAGCAAGGTCCCTTCCGGTCTGGACACCCACATTACACACCCCCTCGCCGAGGCCTTGCACCCATTGCACTGACTTCACTAATCACTTTAGAGGCCCACGTGAGGAAGTCCGCAAAACCCTCTGTGCGAACGCTGGGACCGCCGCGAGGGCTGGAGATCAACTCAGCTGAAGACTCAAGCCTACCCCCATCCACCTAACCGAGCGATGAATTCCCAGCTGCCAGCAGTGCAGCCGACTCCGGACCTGGCCTTGTCCCTACAGGCCCCCGGACGGTGACACCATTCGGGCACTGCTTACTTCTCCTTCCCCGTCTACCCCTGCACACGCTGAGCCAGCACCATGTTTCGAGCACGGTGCGTGCAGGCCGTTAGCCATAGGCGACCGAGCAGGACGGGGGGAAAGTGCTGCCGGCAGCCTGGGCTCCTTCGTGCCGGAGAGGAGTTTGTATCCCTGCTCCGCTGGGCAAGGCGGGCAGGCACGGGCTGCCGTCCGCGGCCAGGGCAGGGCAGCAGGACCTTGG